CCACTCTCATTTTGCTCCTGGAGCTCCTGCTCTACCAGAAAGGAATCCCTGGGCTGTGTGGATCCATGTCTGAGAGGTCAGGGGTTGCTAGAATAAGGAGCTGGTCTGGAACTGGCCAAGCCTGCAAGCCCTTTTTCCAATGTTATGTGGGGAATAGAGTCACCAAAGTCACCAGGATTTCTCTGTATGCAAGAACTGCAGGATTTGGTCTAAGCATCTGATATGAAACAGCATTTTAAAGTACATATGTAGGCTGGGTGTTATATTTTTTGTAAAATCATGGCCCAAAATCAAGCAAAGATAAACAGGTCATGAATATATTTAGGCTGGGAACCAGAAGAACAGCCTTCCAGTTGGAGGAACTGCCAATTTTCAGATAAGGCACCAGAAATTTCTGTACACATTTGTCCAGCCTAAACAGGGTGTGAGTGAGGATCCAAGAGGCCTCACAAGGACCAGGGCGTTCTCTGGAAGCCTGGGAGGATGATGAGTAAGCACAACATGCACCCAGAGTTTCCCATCCCCCTCTTCCCTCATCAGGTTCTAATGCAAGGACCTTGTCCCAGGAATCCTACTACATATCACCGTGTTAAATCCTCTCTTTAAATCAACACACCCAGGGGGACCAGCACTCCTTGGAGCCAAGCTTCACACTCACCACATCCACATGAAGACCAGCTACTAGGTTTTTGGGACTGTGCATTCTCCTGAGCTCATCCTCCCCCTCCTATTTAGTACATCTCAGAAAATGCCCACAGGAACATTCCCTACGTGTGTTACGTGTGTAAGAAACTCTGAAACCCATCTCCACTGCTCTCCTCCTGCATCCCAAACCCATGAGCCAGGTTTGACTCCAGCTGTTGGCCCCACCAGTACATCAGCTCTGTGACCTGCCATGGTTTTAATCCACCTCCAGTCAGTTCCAGTTGGGAGCCCTGGTTTCTCTTGGGTGCTGCAGCAGCAGAGTGTCCGTGTCCCTCAGATTCCCAGGTGCTCACCAGCAGCTGGGGACACAACCCACTGCTCTCCCTGCACATTTCCCATTACAGCAAACAACATGCTGAGCCCCAGGAGGCAAAGGTTGCCAGCAGACCTGTGTGCTGATAACTGTGTGACTTGGGAAATGACTCAGGCTCTCTCTGCATGACATGAAGTATTTAAAATCCAGGAGCTGATTGATTTAATCATATAGCTCTGCACTCAGGAGGGCCATGTGCTCGAGTCATGAAAAATGTATGTGGTGTTTACGTGGGGATTTGTGAATGACTGAATCAATCAAACTCTCTCCCCTGAACCACGGGGCGCTGCCCTGCCTGCTCCTATTAGTTAATCAATAATTTTCATGGGAGGATCTTGCAAAATACATTTTCTGGAGAGGTTCCACTGGAGATCAGCACATCTCGCAGCAAGTTTGGTAAGAGCAGGATGTGCAGCACAGCTCATCCAGAAATGGGGAACTGTGGAAAGGTTGATGACAATGTCCAAGGCAGAGCAGAAGCTGTGATGCCTGAGGGGTGCAGGAGAAACATGCACTTGGGCTCAAAAATTCCTACCCTAAATTCTGCTTAAGATAAAGGAACAAAAGAACTCCCCAGATTCCTCCTTTCCAAGAACCATCACTGCATGCTGGGCTTGCTAAACCTACCCATGACTTCAAGCTCTGTTCTGAGCACTGGAGTTGTCTGGGCTCCCATTTGAGCACCACAGAGATGCACACGAGGCTGCTGGGACCAGGGTGCATCTGACCTTGAGAAGGATCTGCACAAAATGCTCAACCCACTTAAATCCCCCAAGCAGGACTTAAGCAAGACTTCAGTAATGACTGGAATGAGCTTTCCTGCAGTGAACTGAGGACAGAAGCTGTTTCTAAAGCCAGCTCTATAAATGGGCATTGCTGATCAAATCCTGCTTAAAAGCATTTCACTAGAAGTGGTGCTCAGTCTCATGAGAAGGCCAGGAATGAAGTCACCTTCAAAATATCTATTGCCATAGAGGCAATGCCACTGCAGAAGCCTGTAAGGAGGTGGAATCTGTGTGCATTTCTCTATTTTTGGTTGCTGCATTGCAGCCAGCACATCCCCAGCACAGTTCCCTTTTGCTTCGAGCTCATTGGACTTCCTACACCCACAGCACCATCTCCCTTACACACACAACAGAGGAACATTTGTGTGGTGGCTTTTTTTCCCCCCAACTCAAGGTGGAGATTTCTATTCATGGCTAGACTTGCACAAACTTATTTCTTACAAAATTTTACAAATGAAATCCAGAGACTAGATGAAAACACCAGTTTACTGCTGATTTAAGTGGGAGGCTGAAGCACAGGGGGATCTGCAGGATGAGCACAGCAATCTGTGGTGCTGGGAGAGTGATTCAACACAGACAGATGCTTAAGGATCAGCAAGGAAAAGAGTTGTGATGGTCTACACTGGAATTGTTTTGCATGATGGGCAGTAAGGGAGCCAGTACTTGCTATTTCAGATGGAATAAAAGTGAATAGAAATGCTTACATTGTTGCTCTTCCAGGTTCATGTGCCCTTTCAAATCCAAGTGAACTCGAGCTGTGCTCTGAACCTGTTCCTCTGGGAAACCAGTTCATCAGCCTTGGCGTCCTACCTACATCGTGTCAGTGGTGACATCAGAGCAATAATTTGTCTGAACAAAACAAACAGGACCTGCCAGCCTCCCAGAAGGACTGGTCTGCTCACAGGACAGCTTCTCTTCTGCTTTTTCAGTCTGTGGGTTGTAACTCTAAGGGTAACTTCAGTGACTTTTTGGAGATCACTGTGCAAAATGATCCCTCTAGTGCTGGATGGAAATGTGGCAGCAAACGTGGTTTAACTGCACAAAGCCTGGATCCCTGGGTCTGGCACACAGATGCCCCTTGGAGTCATTAGGCAAATTCCAGGGAAAATATTAAGAGGCTGCCGTGCTCCCTGGGAAGCCAGGATCAGCCCAGTAAGGTCCTGTAAACATGTTCCCTTCAGCAGAGCTGAGCCCATGGGTGGAAGCCTCTGCAAAGCTCCAGGGATCCTTGCAGCTCTCGGATTTCTTCCTTACAGCTGAATAGTTCATGTCTGAGGCTGCCTGCATCTCCCCAGATCAATACACGCATTTGCTTGGCAAGAATGACTTCAACAAGAGCCTGAGAGGCACAATCACGAGAATTAATGGACTCGACCAATTATCTGGTGTTTCTGTACCATGCTGGGGTGGGGGAACAGCAAACCGGGGGGCTGAGCTGAAGGGGAGTTTCCAGAGATGGACCAAGTGCAACCTGTAAAGTTTTATTCCACTTCAGCAACTTGCTCAGGGCTGCCAAAGGTATTTTTTGTCTCTATAGTTATGGGATTGCCCTGCCTATGAACTGTGTGTCCCTGCCAGCCCCTCCAATGCTTCCTGCACCGAGATATGGGGCACCAGCTGAAACTGCCTGCTGGAAAAAGGCAAGAAGGTACATAAAAGTCCAATAAATGGAGGCAAATTCTGTGGTGCTCCTGTGCAATGGGAGGAATAAAAAAATAATCTCTGTGGGATAAAAAATAAATTGTGGAGTTCATTATTTTTGGCAGGACTTCTGCACAGTTTGCTTATCAAGGGATGGGTCATAGGGAGAGGATTATTTTATAGTTGCATAAAAGTTCTCCCCTTCTTCTGTTCTCCCAACCCCAGGCTGCCTCCCTGCAGCCTGAGGGGCCTCTTGATGGGATTACACTTCAATTTTCCTTTTTTTTCTTTTTTCTTTTTTTTACTGGATGGGTTATTTTTAAAAGCCAGATTTATCCACCTTACTGCATGTGTTCAGTGCTGCTCTGGGTATTGCTGCCTCCTGCAAGTCAGTCCCAGCAAGGGACAGACACAGTACTGGCTGCTGGGGACAGAAAGAGACCCTGACCCACTTCCCCATGGCTGTGACTCAATGAATGGTTTGAGCTGGGATGAGCTGCAACCCTGCACCCTCCAGCTGCCCGTCCCCTCTCCCTGCCAGCTCCTGTGCACTGTGTCCACATCACAGCACTGAACTCCAGAACGAGATGCACCTTACCTGGGTTGAGCTGGGCTCCAGGAGAAGGTGCTGTGGGAGGTGGGGACTGTCCATCAGGTGATCATGCCATGAGAGCCCTGGGCTCCCTCCTGCACTGCCTGGAGCCTGGGGACATGGGGCATTGCCAGAGCAGCTGGTGCTGGGGATGGAATTTCTGCTTTCTCCATTAGACCCATCACCACTTGATAACCTGCCCACCTCAGGAATTTCTTCAGGACACCAATTCCCAGAATATCCAGTGCTAGAGGATAACTTACAAGCTGTGACTTTGCTCCTCAATGCAGAGCACATTCCCTGGACATCCCTGTACCCTTCCAGGTCTCTCCCTGGTACCAGGGCTGTCTCAGCCCAGCTCCCTGCTCCCTTGCAGCTGGGACCTTTTGGGGTGGTTTTTTATTTTCTGCCTGCTTGCTCTGGGGAGGTGGAAACGTGCTGTAGTGTGTGCAGAAAGGATGCTCTTGACAGGCTGGGCACTTGGTTTCCTGTGGTTTGCCCTTCTCGTGAAAGGCAAACAAAACCATGTGTAAATAGAAATAACTGTGGGTAAAGGAAATGTTTGGGCACCATAACAAAATCTCTGGCACTTCTGGTCTGTTTCAGCCCTCTTCTCTGCACATGTGCTTGGAACAACCCAGCCTGGCTCCTGGTGCAGTGTTGAGCCTGCAGGGATGCAGGCTGCAGCCCTTCCCATCCCATCCTCAGCTAGAGAGCCCTGACACTTGGTGCTGAAGGAAAATCTGCCCATCCTTAACACACCAGAAAAAACAATGCTTAAAAACAGTTTATCAACATGAAAACAAGCTCCCAGTAATCCTGCTAAGGTCAGTGGGAACTGCTGAGCTGATGCAGGGTCTTGCAAAGCTGCCTTTTCCAGGCATGCAGGACATGTTGGGGTGACAGAGCATGTTGCTCTCCCTTCCCATGCTCTTCTCCTTGCCCTCTGTGGGACATGTCCCACCTGCCCACCCACATGCTTGCTCCTAGAAAAGAAAACCATGGTCTTTCTCCAGATCAAACAGGATGCACACAGGTACGAAACCTGGGCAGGGATTTAATCAATGCAGGTTTGTGCATGTGGTGTTCAGCTTGGTCACCACCTTTTGGCCAGCCACTGGGTCACCACACATGGGGAGTGGGGTCTGGGTAGTCTGTTCTCCTTGCATGGAATCCCAGGGAAGAACGTGGTCCTGATCCAGGGTGAGTGCTGCAAAGAAAACATCTCCTCTTCCTATCACTGGTCTGAGGATCTGCTCCAGTACAGGGCTGGGGGTCACTGAATGTGCTGCTCCACCAGCAGCGACCTGGCTGCTCCAGGTACCACCTGCATGGCTCTTCCTTGCCTAGCTTCTCCCAGGGCACTGAGTGAGGGTTTCCAGGGTGCTCTCCTCATTAATGAGTCCTTAGGAATTCCTCACTGCCTGGCCCAGCACGGCAGGAGTTGCTCTCCCAGCGTGGGTGGGATGCTGAGGTCTCCAAGCCCTCCCCTTTGGTCTGCAGCATCTGTGTTCTTCTCAGCCTGCCCTGCTGTTAGGTCTCCTCAGAGGAATCGTTGTGGGAAGCAGAGCAGTTCTCCAGTTCCTTTGTGATCCCCTCTGAGCACTGCTCCACTCTGACTTTCTTTCTTCCTCTCATTGACCTCTTGCCTCCTGTAAACAAGATGACCACAGCAATTAACCAGAGAGCAATGGATTTACATGTATGAGGTGCGGGTGGCCTTGTCCCAGAATAGGGACAGTCCAGGAGGAAGCAAAGCTCAGCAAAAGAAAGATGAAGAGAAACTGTTCTCCCACATGAGATGCACAGGTGGGTACCTGGGGAAGGCTCTTGTGACTGTGCAAACAGAAACAACATGGGAAGCAGAAGCAGGCAGAGAACCAGCCTGGTGGTTGGAGGGATCCTGAGAGGGCACCCAGACCAGCAGGGTGCATTTCTTGGATTTCTCTTCCTTCCAGTGTGGTACATGGCACACATCACATACTGAGAGAGGGGCCATGCCTCCCCACCACCCCATTCCTGCCACAGCTGCATCCAGCCCTCACTTAGGACATCCCCCTCCAGGACCTCTCCTTCCAGCCTCAGAGGCTCAGATGGTGTCTACCCTGGGGAGCAAAGAGCAGCTTCCTCCTCACTGCCCCAAGCAGCTGGTTGTGTAGAGCAAACCTTCTCACATAGCTGCAGGGTGTTCCCTGGGTGAGCAAGCACCTCTGGGGGCTGGGGACAGAGTGAGGGGCAGAGCTGGCCATTTAAACAGGCTTCCTTTGTGCTGGAGCACCTGCCCCTCTCCACTCCCAACTGGAGCAACACTTCCTGTCTTTACTGAAGCACAAAGAGTGTTTGGAGCAGGGCAGTTCTGACAGGGCACTTCCCTGGGCTTGACAGGCACTTTGCCTTATCCTTGCCCTTATCAGGAGCAGTTTTCTGCCTATTCACCTGTAGGGAACATGGGTGCAACACATTCCTTTGTCAGTAGGGAAACCTCTGCAGCCACACTGGAAGATCAACAGAGCTGGCAGAAACCTCTCTCTGAATGTCAATAACTCACCCCCAGGAATTTGGCCTTCTCCAACCACCACCTCCCCAGCTGGCTAAGCAAACATGAGGGACTTTACATTGTTAGCTTAGGTGCTTGGGAGTGCTCTCCTGGCCACCCTGCCCAGGCTTCTCTGGCTAACCATTAGCAGGGGCTCCTCTGGCAGGACACAGAACCATTGCCAAAACACAGCACAATGTGTCTTATTGCAGGGAAACCAAAAACTCCTCCGTATCACCTTGGGCAGACATTGCTTAGCAGCCTGGCATGCACTCAGCAGAGGGGCACCCTCCTCTCTGCTGCAGGGAAGGTGGCCAGTGCCTTTGGGCGCTTCTTGCAGGAGCCCCTCTGGAAGCAGCTGAAGTTGTAGCCTTGAGCTGATGTTACGAGGAATCCCTCCTCCCTACCTTTTGTCCAGGAATCTTGTCCTCTTTTTCTCTTCTTCTGCAGTGCTTTGTCTTTGGTGCAAAAATATTTTCCATCAGCCTGGGCTTCTGGTAGGATATCATCTTCATATGGGGCAGCCACCTACACCAATGAGAAGAACAGTCAGACTACAAACCACTATCCTCTCCCAAGTTGCTGATGGCCCAGTGTCACTGCCCAGGGACCTTTGTGACCATTTGTAGGGAGTGGTGACAAATGCTACTGTTCATAAACCTTGACTAGCTGGAAAGAGTCATATCTCTGTCCCTTAGCAACAAGTTGGGTAACAGTGTGGGAATGGAGTTTGGCACCTTGTATAAGGAAAAGCCATCACCTCCCAGAGGGAGCTTGGGTGGGGACAACCTGTCTTACACCTCTGGGACCTGACAGCCTAGGCTAATGAGCTGATGAGATCAAACACACACCTCACTGTCCGTCGTGTCTGGCTCATCAGATTCCTGCTTCTCAGACTCAGCATCGTCGTCATCTAAGGAAACACAAAAGGGAGGGTTTTTTTGGCTGGCAGGGGACCCACCAGGCTCATGAGCAGATGCAGACCCACCAGCCAAGGCTCTGGGAGCCATCGAGGAGGAAACAGATTCAGCAATAAACTGTGTTGCAAAGCAGAGGCACTGTGAGCTACGTGGCTTGAAATGAATGTTTATGGGAGATCCAACAGGACTGCTGGGGAACCAGCTCCAATAAAACTGTATCCATGGGACTTTGCTACACCAAGGCCACAAGCACTGCCCCAGAGTCCACAACCACGTGCAGGTCAGGAAGCTGAGGGGTATTTAAAACCCCAGGCTGCACCTTCCTGTTTGAGACCTGGGTGGAGAGAAACATGCCTGGGTAAAGAGGCCAGAGCGAACAATCCTCAATTTTGCTGCTGGAGCTGGTCAGTGGCTCTTGGCAGGTAACACGTGCCAAGGAGCAGAGGAAAGAAAGGTGAGGGAGCTGCTTCCCTGCCCAGCAGAAGGAATTTGCTGCACACAGGCCCCAAGGCTACACAACCCCAGACACGTACCTGCACGCACCAGACACGCACCCAAACTTTGCACAGAGTGAAGCAGCCCCAGCCAGAGACTGAGCCTTTCTGCTGGTGGCATCACCCTCTCTGCACCCACAGCGGCACACCCATGCTGGCCACTGAGGGACAGAAAGGGCTAGGGATGGATCTGTGCCCTCATCTGAGGGGCAGGGACATTCCAGGACCTCAATCCTACCTGCTTCTGACACCCAGGTCTCGTTGGGGTGGGACTGTTGGCAGGGCAGCCTCCTGTGCTGTCCCTGGCAGGTGGGAGAGCAGCCAGAGCTGCTTCCTAGAGCCCCTGTAGTCTGATCCTGTCCTTCCTTTATCCTGCTGGGGGTTAAGGTTCACTAGGAGGTGCAGAAGTGTTTGTGTCTTGTTTCCTGGGCTTTGTATCAGCCTTCAGGTGAGAACTGCAGAAACTCCTGCATTCCCACACCCAGAATGTAATCAGCTGAAATTCTTCTACTATGATGGTATCTCCTTAGCATGTAAATCACAGAGGACTCCCCTTCCCAATGCCTTCCTCCACCCCACCCCCCCCCCCCCCCCCCCCACCCCCCCCCCCCCCCCCCCTTTCTTTTTTTCCACCCTGCAAAATCCTGCTCCAGAGAGTGTTCCCAAACCGCTCCGACACGCCCAGACCAACTAATCCAGGTGAACTCAACTTTCTGGCCAAGCCAGTAAGGCTGGTACAGAGCAGATCTCTGCAGACGTGCTTCCTGCTCTGCTCCCCATGGCTGCTGCCTCCCACCTGCCCAGGCAAACCTGGTGCCCATGTCCCATGGTTGTCAGGCCAGAAAAAAGCACCACATGTCCCCAGAACGAGGGCACAGCTGGTTTTGGGAACATAAAGGGCTTTTATGAAGGATGGAGCAGGGAAAGGGAGGAGAGCATCCTGTCCTACCTGCTGCAGGTACCAGCATTCCTTGCTCTGCTCACAGCCCTGTGTGCCAGAGACAGGGATGGTTTTTCCAGTGCTAGTCCTGCAAATCGAGTTTCCCCATCTCTGCTGGGTGATTTCTAAGCTTCTGCTTTCCTGAGAGAGGTGGGTAGTGCTGGAGCAGCAACATTGTCTGGTCATGGCTCATTGTGGGGTGGGTCTTGCCAATGGGTCAGTACTAAACCAGCCTCTTTGGCTCCTGGAGCCTCCATGCCAGGCAGCAGCTGGGTGCAGGGTGTTGGCAGCCCCATGGGTGGCTCCTGCTCTGTGCTGGGCAGAGATACTGGGCTGTTCTCCAGAACAGCCAGGGTTACTTTCTCTTTATAGATACTAAGCCTGAATTTTGGGTATACATGTGGTTGAAAACTGAGCTGTTCAAGATGGAAATGTGAAACCCAAACTTCCCCAAAAGACCTGGGAGCCAGGAGCACCTGGGTCCCTGGAGGGCTGTCCCATCCTGGTGAGTTGCTGCTTCAGCACAGCACAGAGAGCTCCCAGCTGTGAGATGCCTTCACCAAAATGAACATTTTGCTCTTGCCTTCTCAATTGTCACATTTGCCTGGGGCTTTTTACCTGCTTCTTCCTTTTGTGCACTGACAGCCAGTCTCTTCCCAATCTCTGGAAGGGCCTCTGGGTCACTTGGCAAGGACTTGTTTGTCGGATGTGTCCGGGAGAGAGTGAGCTGTAAGACACAGGGAGCACAAATGCTGCCTTGGCCAGGAAGGAGGAAGGGGCTGTTCCCAGCCCCTAGGTGATGGCTGTGACACCTATGGGGACAAGCATTGCAGATGGGGCACAGGTGCTGCCACACGCCTGTCCTGGATGGAAACCCCATGGGTGCTGAGGAGAGGGTAGGCTGGGAACAGGAGCCAGGGTTGATTGGCCGTGGTGTTGCCATGTGCAAACACATCCCCCTTGGCTGCACACACAGCTGGGCATCCTCCTGCAGGGTGTTAAAGGTGGTCACTGGCACCAGTGCTGGGCTCCCTGGGGAGGGGAAGGGGCTTAATTTTATGCCAACGTGAGCTGTACTCACCACAGCTTCATCCTCCTCATCCTCCTTTTCCTCCTCCTTGACAGCAGCAGGCAGTGCCCGGGGAGCCTTGGGCCAGCAGCCGGGGAAGGGCAGTTTGTCCCTCCCTGCCTCATGCCTCCCGTGGGGGCCGGGGGCTGCGGGCAGAGCAGGGCTGTCCCCAGGGCTCAGCCGTGGGCTGGTTGCCCCCCTCAGCTCCCGCCGGCGGTGCCAGCCCATGTCCCTGCCACGGCTGGAGTCTGACAGATCCAGAGGAGCATCTGCACCATCATCCCTGGCCACCTCCGCTTTTTCTCGGAGCTCGGAGCCGTCCTGGCTCAGCCAAAGCTCTTTCTCTTCCTTCCCATCTGCAGCATCCTCCAGGAAGGACCTCTCCTCCTTGCATCCCAGCGTGATGTTTGCCCACGGGGAGAGGGGCCGCTCGTGGGGCACAGGCCTTGGCTCCCCCTCTGCCCGCTGGCCGGGCTGGCACTGCTGCAGGAGCAGCTGCTGCAGCCGCTCCCTGTGCTTGAGGAGGTGCAGCTTCTCCTCCAGGTGCTGATCCCTCACGTACACCATGGCAGCAGGGAGCTTCAGCAAGGCTGCTCGGTCTTCCCAGCCATCACACAGCCGTGTCCTGCTGTCAGCATCTTTGGCCCTGGGCAGGTGTTTGGAGAAGCTGCTGCCATCCTGCTCGGCCGAGGCACAGTTGCTCGGCAGCCCCAGCGGATGCAGGGAAAGGTGCTTGTGGAGGAGGCAGAGCTGCTCCCTCCTGGCTGTCAGCTTCAGGTTCTCGTAGGAGGCAGCAACCTTGGGGGAGTCCGTTTTGCTGGCTGTTAAATAACTAAAAGAAGCAGGAGGGGGGTGGGGAAAGTTAATGAGAGGATTTTCATGTGATTGCCCAGATGGTGTGTGTGGTCTCTCCTGCTCTTTCTGTGCCTCGTGCCACAGGGTTTCCCTTGAGTGCTATGTTGGGGAAGAGGGGCCCAGTGGCCACAGGGGCCAGGCAGCAGCTTTCCACACTGCAGACACCACAGGGATCCAGCACCATCCCACCACCCTGCTCTCCTGTCCCTGGGCCGTGGCAGCTCCAGGCAGGAGGGTGAGTGAGTGGGGGGGGGGAGGGGGTGCTTCCCGCA